ACCTTCTCCTCCTCCTCCACCTTCTCCTCCTCCACCTTCTCCTCCTCCACCATCTCCTCCTCCACCTTCTCCTTCTCCACCTTCTCCTCCTCCACCTTCTCCTTCTCCACCTTCTCCTTCTCCACCTTCTCCTTCTCCACCTTCTTCTCCAGCGTCATTGTTATCGTTGTCGTCATTGTATCCCTCTTCCCCTTCTTCGTCTTCTTCATTTTCTTCGTCATCTTTTTCCTCTTTAGGCTTCTTCGTGGCTATAAGGTGGAAAATGAATGACTGTTAAAATGGAATACTCATGCAAGCAGCAATAACAAGAAGGCTTTTTTGTGAGAAAACTCTCGTGAAAAGTAAGGCACGAATGCAGTAAGGCCAGTAATGCATTCCAGGTTTGAGACTTAAACCTCATCTTTCTATGCGTTTTACAAACTACTTATTTGTTTTCAGAAATCAGTGCGGTGCAGCCTAGAAGAAATGCGGGAGTCTAGGTTGCCCCATTCACAGTGCAGGCAGTTGGATGGGGTAGCTATGAACTCGCCCTCCTATTGAACATGTTAATGGGCAATGTGAAAGCTTTGCAGCAGGCGCTTAGCACATTATATATGCATGGCTGAATCTGTGCAAACTAAAAGTACAGCTCTAATGCAAACCTTAAAGCAGGCGCACAGTTAAACCCAATTTACTCAAAAAATATGTATATTTACTTAACAGATAACACTTATATGCACAGAAATGCTCTGTTAGCAGACACCGAATGTTCGTTCACAAATATAGATAAAAATGTTCATGCGTATATGGTACTTGCTATTTTGTACTAAAATATGTTATGCTGGATATGTTATGCGTATGGCTTTCAATAGAGTCTTCAAAGCATTGTCTACTGCTCAAAATATAATGAAGATTAATAAACTAAGTAGATCAGTGCGGATCGCTAGCGTTTCTCGACGTTGTTATTTTAAGTAAATGTCATGGTATTATGCAGTGTACTGCTCACTAAAATAAGACGATTTTCCAAGAACTAAAAAACTTAAATAAATGTATATCTCCGGGTCCAGATGACATTTATCCTAAATTGATAGAAAGCTGGCTGATCCGCTTTCCATGATGTGCCAGAAATCGTTTGGTACGGGAATCCTTTGTCCAGATTGGAAAATAGCCGCTTTATAAAAACGGTAGTCGTGCTGCTGCGAATAACTACAGACCTGTGAGTTTGACTCCCATATGCTGCAGAGTAATTGAGAAGGTAATACAGAAGGAATTAATGATATGTTGTAGAACTCAAAATATTTTGTCGAATGAACAATATGGCTATTGTAGGGGTAGGTCATGTTTAACCTACTTGCTTTACACGATGCAACGCTGGACAAGGCCAAATGTTGCAAAGGAAACCGTTTATGCGGCCTACATTGGTTTCCGGGAGGCCTTCAATAGTGTTCCACACTAACTTATCGTGCAAAAGTTGAGGCTGATTATGGTCGGAGGCAGCCTTCTAACGTGGATTGAGAATTTCGTCGCTGTTCGTTTCGAAACTGCGTATGCAGGACGACAGCAATCAAAGCCGACAGTCATGGAGAGCTGAGTCTCTCATCTTTCAGTACTCGGACCCACCCTATTTATATTGTACGTTACTGCTCGTATAAGGAAATTGGACTGCGAGTGTGTCATGTTTACGCATGATGTCAAAATATGTAAGGTCATCAACAGTGCTGCGGATGAAGATAACTTCCCGGAAGATCAGCTCGATATGCGTGCCCATTACCGTGTAGTTTGATAAATCACACGAGAGGACACGAACTGCATAATATATTTTCCAATTAATAGTAACATATATTATCTTGGATACGTGTGCATACAATTTTCAATAGGGTTTACAATGGAATTGCCTAATACCCTTAATTTACTGAATTATAGTGACTTTTTTCCAATTGTTAGTAAGGTGGGCTATACGGCCACGGCAAAGCCGAGCATTCGCCGATTACGGCAAACGGAACTTCTGAAGGTGGACGTTAAGTGGAAAAAATCATTTTTTGTAAAGGCTTGGCGGAAAACCACGACATTTGAATGCGGGAATTGCAGCCATCATTTGTAGGCATTCTTGGAAGATATGACGCAATTAACACATTTTTATTAATGCAATTGAATTCGTTAAATATCGCATATTTACATCTGAAGCTCACATAGTAATTCAAAGAATCTTATTTTAAGGCGATTAAGCAGAATATATATATTCTCCTAAGGATTAAGCCAACAAAAGTGTGTCTTTCTTGAAGTATGACGTTGAATGCACACACTACACACCAATTTGCTGCTGGTAAAAAAGAATATCATGATCCGACTGAAATATATTGTCATTAAATCGTATGCACATACACCTTCCGACCACATCTCTTTCATACGTTCGAAATTTCGGCTGACATTTCTGTCAGCACTGAGCAACTGTCAGAACTACCTTAGCCTTTGTTTGGAGGACAAAAACTGCTCATCACTAGGCCGCAAATGTTCGCATGCGTTCACCAGGAACCAGAATCAACTTCGAAGAATGTGAGTTTTAAGAATTTGACTTGAAAAACGAGACTTTTAAAAGCAACTGTACATCGTACTCGGCTTTGTACACCAGGTGGATAGAATGAGGAAACACATTAGACCAGCGACTTATGCAGCCACTTGTCGCGTTGCAATTATTAACACTTGGCTGTTAGTATGGTAAGTTACAACATCAATGTATACTACTAATCTTTTTCTGTGGGCAGGAAGTCGATATTCCGCAGTGGTTGACGTGTTTAACCCAAATATACACGTACAATTTCGGTTTCGCCTATAGACCTTAAATACACTTATAGTATCCACAATCAGGCATTAATTTCTCAGGAGATTAAAAAGCTGAAGGTTCAAAACCGGTATATGAACCAGAAAGCAGACAGGAAAAGCTGGGGGACCCACTCCCAGCTGTGTCAAGCAGCGGCAGCATACCGGCGAAGCACATGTCTGGGCCTTTTATCTGGTACCTAGGCTGTTATTGTGGTAAATTACAACATCAATTGCTAACACTCTCTGAATCCTTCCAAATTTCAACTATAAACGTTCTTAAGTTAACGATAAATTGCAAGGCAAATTTATGTTCGAGCGATATTCGGATAATGGGAATGGAATTGAAGGAATATATGTGACCAGTTAGCTAATGCAGTTGATATTGCTCGCGGGATAAACTTACATGGTATTTCAATGATCGTGAAGACTTTGAATCACGATATACAAAATACACTGAATGAATCCCGTCTATGGTAGTGGGTACAATTTGTCCTATGGCTTCAGGCATCAATTAGTATGGAGCGCTGTCCGCGTTCAAAATGTAATTCTTTTAAGTTTCAATGCATTGTCATTTAACAAACATCAAGCCCACACCCTAATTACCTCACGGGCATAAGTCAACTGGTAACAACATACTGCCTCCACCTTGGTATGTTGTCCAAGGCTATATGACGTTCAACCGTGTCTGCTTTTATGTTTGTTAGATTAAACTAATTTAAAAAAGAGGACCACGTCAACAAAGTGGATACATTTCGGGTTGTGGAACTATCTACATACCTCTGGATTATGACCCAATGAAGAAGCTAGTGAACAGCATCACAACGACCAGGCAAATCCTTGGAAGTCGAAGGAAATAACGCAGATTGACTGGCAAAAGATCAAACCAAATGATGCGCTTTCAATGGAACTTTCTACGAGCATGCAAGAGGTAAAGGGCGGCCGCTGTCCGGCCTGACTCCTCAAGCAGTATTACAACGACTAGAGGCACTGGGTTCCGACCACTGTCGACCACGACTGTGGATCTGGTATGCTGATGACACGTTTGTCATCATCAGTCGCTACTCGATTGTGGATTTTACAGAGAATATGATCTCCAACATACCTGACATCAAGTTCACGATGCAGGAAAAAAGACGGCCAGTTGCCGTTAAATTGAAGTTAGAATATTCTTCGCGATGGGCTGAGGGCTTTGCTGTAGCACCGACGTTTTCGGTAACGTAGATTAATTGTTAATGTTTCGCTAAAAAGTTTTATTTGTATGCGTAGAATTAGGGCTCTGGTTAGGATTTGGTTTTTTAGGGGGGAAGTATAAACCACTGTTGGGAGTTTGCTCAAGATCACACCAATCATACATTCTATTCCCCATCTCATGAAACGTTACCCGGAAATCTGAAATACGTTTTAGATTCAATTATATTAATCAGCAACGGTTTCAAAAATGACGCTCGTACAGCCTTATCTTAATGCATTTTGGTCATAGCAGGATGTCGGCTTTTTTACCGAGCTTTTTAATGACTGCTAAGTGAAGTATGTACTATAAAAAATAGCTAATTAAGTAGTATCCCATTTTGCCATTGGTTTTGAGTGCCTTTGAGGAATTAAACTATATTTTTTTGAAAGCAAGCAGGAAATGATTATTTATTGTACGCTTTTGGTAGCCAATAGAACCTTCTTTACATTTTAAAATTCAAGAAAGAGTATCATTCCGAAAAATATTAAAACCTACTAACTGCTACATTGGAATTCTAGGTTTACAAACTGTGCACTGTGTACATGCTTTGAATGGAAAGTGCTATTTCGCTTACACTTTGAGAAAAAATATCACGTAGTTCTCAAAACATTTAGCAATAGATATGGAGCATGATTTATACAGTAAAGACAGCATTTACAAATTGACTGATACGATGTTCTGTGAATGAACACGTAAAAATTGTAAAAAAAGCTCATAATAAGAATTCGTTTTAAAACGGAAGGATGCACTTTCTTTAAGTATAAAACGTAAAAAAGGCGTTATTTGCTCTAGGAACATGCACCCGAAGGGCGGCTGTTACCTATCACTACCTGTTCTTTGCTCTCTTTGTTCTTTAATATGAGCACTATTTGAGTGGCACAACATAAGCTAATTTTGCCCTTGTCATATTAAAGTCCTCTTAGGTAAAGAAATGCTTCGATAAAAGGAGCTTAGATTGTTGGCTTGTTTAGAAATACCAGAGTAAGTGATGCGCTCGCAGAACGCTTTCCTTTTAATGATACATTCACAGATGTACTAAACAGTTTCTTTGAAATACACCCTCGTGAAAATAGATGCAACGTCTACTTAGGCCATTATCGTGCCGTTAAGATCGAGTCTTTCACACCGTCTACGATTTTAAAATATCCAGGAGGTTGCGTGCCGCAAGCTGACACCAGCAGGGGGTTTGATTTCTCAGCTTGTCACTTTACTATCGTATGGTTCATCAACTTTCGCATACCTGGGATGGAATGGTCATGTGTGTCATATTTGTGGATCTGCAGTGAGCCGCATCGTAGACGTGAATGCCTGCCTACACGACGGAGATGCTGGAGGCCAGGTTCGCGCATAAAAAAACACTTCATCCGTCCTCGTCCTGGAATTCACGGTGCTATGTTTAATAGAGGTATCTTGGCTCTCCACGCGCATGCTAGTCGCAGAAGGTGTCAAATACATATGTGGTATCATTATCTCGTACCATCAGGGCGTAAAAATTCCAACGACTTGTGTCTTGTAATTCATTTGTAGAATAGGCAGTTCTTATTTGACAACAACCTGCGCAGACATTTGGAGGGAGTAGCTATGGGCTCGCCCTTTGGCACATATCCGGTGAACCTCTTCATGGGCAAGCTGAACAAATTCGTCAGCAGATGAACAGAGTGACGCATTACGGGTGCTAGGTGGAC